CAATAAGCAAATAAGTTAAATCAATAAGGGTCATGTCGTGGTCCATCATATAGTACTCTCTAACGAACTTACCATATGACTCGGGAAGTGATTGAAGAACCAAGTCAACAACCAACTTTCTTGAGACATCGTCACCGAACATCCTTAACCTGTCAATGTGTGACTTCATCTTTAAGACGTGTGCACACACAGACTTTCCATCTTTGTGTCTTATTGCCAATAGGGCTTGAGTGACCTTGAACTTTTCAAGTCTTCGAACACGTGGGCCAGGGAGAATTATTGGAGGAGGTGGAGGAAGTGAAGCATGATTTCTATTTCCACAATCCAATCGTGGAACATCATCTTCACGTGGAAACTTTTTTCCAACGGATTCAGGAAGACCATAGTTGTCAGACTTTGACATCTATAAAATGGGAGAAAATTCAAGTTAGTTGATTGAGTCCTTAATAAAACACCCAAATGAGATATTAAGGCTAGGACCCAACACAATATTCTATAAACTGGAAGAGGGATGTCGTAATCCAATTTGCAGAATATTTGAAGGTAGGTAAATGACGATTTACCAATTTCCACCATGAAAAACGAAAAAGAAGGTTAAGTTTTAAATGTATTGGAAACTCCTAGATCTTTTGAGATTCATTGAACTTTTCAATGACATGTTTAAATCTCAATATGCCCCTCGATTTGTGACTGGGATGCCGAGGATCACAAAACAGGGTGTGAATAACCATGCAAACATACATGGTGCCCCCAATGTTACGGTCACTGATGTGTAAAAATTCACTCTTGTCTTAAATTTATAAGGTCGAAATTACCGATGCTAGAATTTACTACACGACTTAGGCAAGTGTACCTAATTGTAATTGTAATATAGCAATGGTAAGAACGGATGTCGAACACTTGGGGAAACGAGTATGATTTACGTTTAGACTATTTGTCGCTAATTAACTTAAAAGATAAGAAACTTGTGGGAATTTTTAGTAACGAGACAAATAATGAGAATTTTAACGATTAAAGTGTAAAAACAAATATAGAACAAGAATTGGTTTTTAAGAATCAAGAATGATAAGGATGCTTTCACTTAGATTTAATTCCACCTTTTAGTAATGAATGATTTATATTAAGTGCAATGGATATTATTAGTTATTTACCGATTTCTAAAATTGGTTAAAAATCATGATCTAATTTTTACCGTTTTGATAATAAAAATAATTAAAAACAATTGTCATGCAATTAACAATTTTATTAACAATATTTAATTCGTATCATGCAAACATTTGATCAAACTATTAATTTTAGTGGTCGTAAAACTAATAGGAATCGTAAGTTGGTCATACGATACAAAATATACATGTTAAATTTTTAGTATTTTATTTTGCCTAATCCTAGGATTTTGTCCATCACTAGTCATAAATATCAATAAATATCAATGGTCATGAAAAATTTATGATTCAAGATAATATATTTAAATTGATCCTTTAAAAATATTAACTTAGTTATAGGAAAATTTATTACAAAAATTCAACGTATAAAAATAAATGATCAAATATGCATGATAAAATAAATAACAATTAGTATCCGAATAATATAAATTAAATCATATTTTCAAGGTTTCATTATCCAAGTGAAAGCAAAGGGAATTTTAGCCCATAATTAAAGTTACAACATATATAGAAAACATATTGAGAATGTTAAACATTTCGATAAAACAAACCCGATGTAGTCCCTAATGCCACTGCAATCTTCAATTCCTTAGCTCTTTGACTCTTGAATCCCCAATTGTAGAAAATTGGTTCAAAGGTTGGAAGAAATTTGTGTATCAAAATGCATAATTGCAATGTCTTCTCTTTTCTTTTCTTTCTTTTTTTTTGGTGAAAAATGGTGGTATTTATAGTAAAAATTGGAAGAATTAAATACCAAAAAGAAATAAATTGAGATTGAATCTAATGAAAAAGAATTCAAAAGAAATAAAAAGATGGGAATAAAAGGTTGGAAAGTTTAAAGGTGGTGAATTATTGAGTATTGGTTGGAAAGGAATGGGTTAAAATAGGAAAAAGTGGGGAAAAAATGGTTAAAAACGGAATGAAATCGGAATTGGCAAATCTGGAGGCCAAAACGACGTCGTTTTGTACTGTGAATAGTCCGAATCGGATTTTGGGTCGTCAATCGGGTTAAGGCGCGGATCTTCTGTGAGGGAAAACGGTTCGAAATCGCGGGTCGGATCTGGATCGAAGCCGGGTATGGATCGGATCGGATGACGTCATCGATGACGTCACCAGCGAATAAAAGCGCGGATTGTAATTCCCGGGTCGGATTGGAGTCGGGTCGGCAAATCGGTTCTGCTTGTGAGACGAAATGGTTGCGGGGCGAACTCCGGATCGGGCTTGGATCTTCCGGATCTGGGTCGCGATTTTGTTGAACGGATCAGGCTTTCTTTTTTTTGGGCTCCGGGTTTGGGCTCCGAATTGCTTCTTTTATTTTTTTTTCTTTTTGTAAATTAAATTAAATTAATTTAATTAATATAAATTATTTAGAAATTAAATAATTAATTCCCAATAATTTATTTTAATTAAACCTCATTAATTAATTTAATTTCTTTTTATATATATATTTTTTTATTTTGTTTTCTCGTCTCTCCAACGCGGCTATCTTTGAATTCTTTGACTTTTTGATCTCGTTTTTCTTCGTGTAATTTCTTTCACTTCTTTTTGCGGATTTTTGCACGTTTTCTTCTCTTTTTCCTCATAAATGATTTTTAGCTGTAAAATGGAATTTCAAACTTTATAAGTACCTTTTATCTTTAAATCATACCAAAATATAGCTAAAAATACATAAATATCGCTCGAAATATATGTATAATTATTGCGATATCAGTCACCTATTTGATGTGCCGGTTAACCACACACGCTCCACCGAACTATGACTAACATCGAGTCACCCTTCACCACCTTTGCTTAGAACCCAATTAGTGTGCCGATTAACCACACACGTTCCACTAACGTCTTAGCAAGGGAACAAAGTATAATTTCATGGAATTGCATCAATTCACTTTTGCCTAAAGTAACTAAGATTGTGAATTTTTGTAAAACATTTAGTTACTTTAACATTCATTGTACTTTTAACGAGGAGAGGGTTTGCCCTATCTTACCCGTTCGACTAACGACCCTCCACCAATCAAGGAAGCGGTGGTGAGAGTGGACACCCATTAAACGGCCATTTTATAGGCCATAACCTTATACCCCCCTTATAGATCAGCTTCGTGAATGAGACCTACTAACAGTAAGACTAGCAGTTTAAGTTATACATATATAATATTAGATTTTTAATGTTATATATAGTATCAGGGTGTATTTTATACTTTTAAAATACTAGGTGGTTTAATTTTATAAATTACACTTTTAATTTAATTAAATATAAACCATATCATTATGGATTTATTAACTCTCTTTTAATTATACTTTTAATTAACTTAATAAAACCATAAGGGTGTAATTTGAACTTTTCAAAACTAGGGTTTTAGAATTTAAAATTTCAAAAAATTAAACTTTTAATCAAAAATTTAGATTCCAAAACTTGAGGGCAAGTTTTGAAACATTTTAAAACATTAGGGTTTAGAATTTAAATATTTCAATAAACTTTTAATCAAAAATTTAAATTCCAAAACTTGAGGGCAAGTTTTGAAACTTTTCAAAACTATCTAGATCAAATTACAAATAATTAAAATTAATCAAATAATTGGTAATTATCTAAATTTGACCTAGTTCAATTTCTTACTAGATAATTCAAAATATAATTACAAATAATTAATATTTATCTTATAAAACAAGTAATTATCTAAAATTTTGACAATTATCTTCTATTTTGGTAAGGATAATCAACAAATATTGATAAAATTCGGATTTTATTAATGAAAAACGTTTTTGGTAATTATCCCACAACAAAATAGGTCAAAATCCTGAAATATCCTCTGTCTGACCCCGGGACTCGCTGAGTCAGCCTGACTTGCCGAGTTCATCAACTGACTCGCCGAGTCAGTCAGGCAGAGGACCAAAAACTTCGATTTTCAGGCAATGAATGATTAAACAAGCATCAAATACATCAAACAAACAACCTGACTTTGATACCACTGATGGGTTTTGAGCACTACATCATTCCTATGGTGTACATGCAAATCCTAAAGTTTTGGATCTAGTTTGTCTAATGAACATGCAATAATCATCCAAAGCCATAAACCCTAGATCTAGCATACAATAATCAATATTATCATAATATAGGGTTTAGATCTTACCTTTGATTGTTATGTAGCAATAACAATCTATTCCTTCTTGTAATTGGCTTCTGAAAGCTTAGTGTCACAAGTGTCACACCTCTAATGGCTCACAAACACCAAGAGCAAGAGGATGACTTAGGAGAAGGGAAGGAGGCACCAAAAACGTCCAAGAAACTCCAAGGAATGCTTAGCCATGTTTTTGGGTGCCCTAGGGGTCTTTATATAGTTAGGCTATTAGGGTTTTGAACTAGGAAACCCTAATCTAACTGCTTAGGCCCTAAGAAGCCCATGGACTCCCTCCTTAGAGGCCTTGGACGAATTCTCATGGGTTTACCCATAGATCTCGTCCACTCCACCCTCTATGGAGTCCATTAGCCCAATATCCAACTATCACACAATTGACAGTTCTAGTCCCCTTTATTTAATTAATGTCTTTTAGCCACAAAATTAATTCTTGACTAATATTAATTAAACAATATGATTTCTCTTTTAATATATTATTCATGTAATATATTAATAAATCATAATTAATCTCTTTCTCCATAAATCATCCTATCAAGTTGCTTTGGTGAAGGCAACCCAAAAATACAATGTTCATAATCGGGTCAAGTACATACCAAAATAGTTATGGACTTAGACACTAATCCAACAGGAATATCATATTTTTAAAACATTATTTGACATAAAGTTACATCTTGCATAATATGGTCCAACAAAAACATTTGGAAACATGTTCATCCACCATGAGGTTACAACTTCATATCAACATGGGGCATAGTGAAAGCAAATCATAAGTATAAATATAAGTTCAAACATAAGTAGTGTAACTATATGTATTCACTCCATATAACTTCACAATCCTTTCTTCTTAGTATCCACAAAAAGTCCATATAAGGGAAAATTTCACATATGTCTTTACAAACATTAAGAATTACGTTTATATCTTTTTAAAATTAATAATTACATATATATATATCCTTTTTTACCAAGTAAACTCACATTTATATCCAATTTTATAATTTAAACAGATATAAATTAATTTAATATCAAAAAAATATATTTAAAAATCAAAAATACATATAGATTTACCAAAATACCCTTTACACATTATATCCAAAATTAAATCGTATTCCTTTTTATTGCTAGAAATTGTTAATCAGGTTTTTAGGGGAAAATTGAATCCTCAGTCGTCGTGATCGATCAGCCAACCAAGCACCTTTCTCCATCGCCAAAAATCGAGTTTCATCTCTCCTTCCCATCTTCCGGTCTCCATCACCTTCTTCCCTCTTAGTTGTTGTTCTTTTCTTCTGTTCTTCTGTTATCCCCTAATTTCTACTAAATTTGTTTCAAAATCGAAGCTTTTTGATTTGTAGGGTGCAATCGAATCGGGTTTTTGATCATCGGGTACAACCTGTCAATGATCTTTCAAATAATCAAAGTATTTGATCTTTGTGTATCTCGTTTCGAGTTTGATGGTGGCGAGGTGGTTACAATGGAAGCTTCGTAATCTGCTGCACAAAGTATTACTGGAGGGAGTATTTTAAGAGCTCAAATGGCGATATATTTCAAACCATCGAGAAAGCCAATCAATTCAAGTTGTTTTTGAACAAATCGAGTTCATGGATTTGTGATTTATGCTCATTGCCTGTCGTTTTTCTTTGCTAGTCTGAATCGGTGTTGTAAGGCCATAGTTATTGAGAGACTGCCCTCTGGAGTATTTGCTGACCCATTTGAGCTACAACATCTTACTCAACTTGATGGTAAATTACAGTGATACCCTTCAAGTAATTTATGTAGCATGTTTACCTCAAAAAGTTATACTATTTTTTTTTATGCTTCTGCCTTCGGGGACACTGATGTAGAGTTGCCAATGTTAATTTTTGTGCTTAATTGAACAAATTAATGGAAAATTGAATGAGAAATTACCACTCCTTATTGATTTATTGGCTCCACTATTTCTGTGAATGAAATCCTGTGCACTACAATATTTTTACTAGCTTTTATTTTCTGTCTTCCCCATTTTCTTACCAGGTTGTTCTCATATATTTTTAGAGTGTGAAATACATGACAAAAGATGAAGGTGATGATGTTGAAAGCGGTGAAGATGAAGATGAAACTTGTTTGACTGGTCAAAGCAAAAACTCATCTCAAAAGATGAAAAGTTATGATAGAGTTAGCAGTTGTCCTTATCCCTATGTAAATGAGGAGAAGACATGACTTGGAATCATAATTGAGAAGGAAGAGAAACCTAATGAAGACTTATCCTTATGTTTAATGCATTTTAAGCAATTCAGCAAACTACAAGTCGACTTCGGAGTTCTTCACGTCGATATGGCAGTATTCAATATTCGAGGGTTTTTCTATTTCACGCGGTGGACTTTTCCCACATTTAATTAGGTTTAATCCTAATTAAATGCATTTTGTTCTAATCTTTAATAATGTGTAAAGGGTATTTTGGTAAATCTATATGTATTTTTGATTTTTAAATATATTTTTTGATATTAAATTAATTTATATCTCTTTTAATTATAAAATTGGATATAAATGTGAGTTTACTAGGTTAGTAAGGATATATATGTAATTATGAATTTTGAAAGGATATAAACGTAATTCTTAATGTTTGTAAGGACATATGTGAAATTTTTCCAAATATTATATGAACTATATTCTTTTAGTTCTTGATACACGAATCTTGAATACATGCTATTTAGAACAGTATATGTAAGAACATAATATCTCATGAGCTACATGGGTTTTAAACAAAATAGAACTTTAAAATCATTTTACAAAACCTTTTACTTTAACATAATTCATGCAAGATGATATGTATGCAATGTATGATCATGTTCCAATGCAAGCTTGGATAACAATATCCATAGATCGGGTCCATCCTAACATCATTAGTTAAATTATAATGTGTTCACTTTTATTACATAAGCCTTGGTCATAAATGGTGACACCCTATGTTTGGAAAGATAAAATTAACAAATCACCCTATCTTGGCATTCTTATTATTATACATCTGCCTCTCAAAGGGAAGTATCACCCCAATAGTCTTTTGGATCTCATTATTGGGATATCATATGACTAGACAATTATATTCAGCTATTATATAATTTACATTCGATTTATGCATGATCACATATGCTCTTTTAAGTAATGCAGTTACATCTAGTGTCATGATGCGGATATACTATAATTATAAACTTTGCATAACTCAAATAACATTCACAAAGCTTTTAATAACATGATGGAAATAATAATCTAAGAAAACACTAAATAAAAGAGCATATAACATGATTTTTATTTCATACAATACTTGAGATATACTAGCTTACTCTACAAAAGTGTTCATAAGTAAAAGAATTAGACATACTTGAAATCATACTTGTATACTCTACAAGATAGTCTATTGTCATAAAAACATTTAGCTATGACATGTACCTCAAAATGGGAATTATCCTTATATACTCACCTTGGGAAGTTAGGTAAAATAACTTCACTCATTTCCCTTTTGTCACCCTAAATTCCAAACTTGTCCAATATATCCAAAAACATAGATATTGATGTTGTATAGTTGTCCCAAAGTCAATCATAAATTTTTAGTCTTTAATGTTGGGTTTTATTTAAAAGTAGTCTATAAAAAACTATGAGATTAGCAATAGAAGTATTTTATAATGAATAAACTTAAAACCGTTTTAACCACCAATGATCATTTTGCAAAGAATGGAAAGATTAAATCAACCATAAAAGGAAAAAAGAACTACAACCTTTGAATACTTTGATTCTCATGGGAGATTGGAAGTTGATGAAGTGAGACAAAAGCTCCAAAGTAGAAGCTCGTTATAATGTATCCACCAAACAAGAGTAAACTACCAAAAGATGCTAGTATTCACTTGTATTAAGCACTTCTTCATCCATTAAGAACTAATACCACATTAGTCGTAAGGAGAAAAAACTTATAAACTCAAACTCTACACTACACAATGCAAAAGAGAAGAAGGGGGGAACATTTAGTGTATCGTAATACCATACTTCCATCGAGTCAAAACATGGCTCTTGAAATAAGCATGGAGGTGTTAGAGGTTGCTTCACAAGCAAACTCTCCCATACCATGGGGACACATGGTAATGATCACCATAAGTCAAAGATAGTTTTTCTTTTATTCCATATTATTTATATCATGTGTTTGTACTTTTTTTATTATATAAATAAACTCTAACCATTCCAAAATAATGTACACAACTTATAAATTCATACCTTATGAATTACTAGTTGTTTTTCTCTGATACAAAATATTATAAATAATAATTTTACAATTAAATACAAATATTGATAATATTTATTAGTAATCAAATTTTAATAAATAATCAATAAGTAGTAACTTGATATAAGGTGTAACCCTACATTATCATATGTTATTAGCAAATATAATTCTATAATTACTCTTGGGCATAAATGGAACATTCTGTTTTTGGGGCTAGAAGTTTTTGGCTTTGGTAAAACTAAATTTTTTCTTAAATTAAAATAAAATAAATTGAAGTGAAATAAATGAATAAATGAAATGAATATTTTAGAACAATAGAAATAGTAATTTTGTCATTAATTTAAATAAATATATGATGGAGAATTTGGCGTTAAATAAGACTTTTGTAAAAAGGGTACCAATAGTGTCATCTTCGAGAAACTTGTGTTTGACCCAAGAATTTGACCAAATAAGCAGACCGGACTAGGTTTGTTTAAGTTATGGTGGAGAATGACCAATTATAGACTAAAGATAAATTTTATATAGTTTTGAGCCAAGTTGGGGGCTAGTATTGAAAGGAATTTGGAATTAGGGTGTCAATCTGTCCAAACTTGTGGGCTACACCACGCCCTTTAGGTCGACACACTGCACTCACGACGCTAGGCAAATTATATCGGTGTTTTGTGCAACGCCTTTTCTTATTCATTTCACCCACTTTTTTCTCCACTCAATCCCAACCTCTTTCACCTTAATAATCGATTTTTCCCTCTAGATTTATGGTGCTTTGGTGATTGGAATTGCTAGATAGATGATTTTTCAAATCCTACATAAAAAGGTAGATTTCTTTCCCTTTTTTACACATATTCGTTCTAGGGTTTTGTTAAACCTTAAATCCGAATTTTATGGCTAAATTGTGATGTTAATGTGAAATTATTGATGTGGTTTAATTCCTTAATCTATCTACAAACTCCATCTAACAAATAGTTGGGAGATTTGTGAGAACTAATGTTATTTAATGGGCTTCCCAAACCGTAGATCTTTAAATATGAAATTTGTGTACCAGACAATGACATGAGCTTGAATTTGTGATTGGATTATGTATGTTCTTTCAAATCAATGACCCATCTATTAATTCATGACTAATGGTGAGATTTCTAGGATTTGATTCAAGTTTAGCATTCTATAAGATGAATTGGGTATTTTTAAACCCTAATGTGTGCTAGATTAAGATTTATGGTTTCAAACAATGATATGACTTTGATGTTATGCATAGATTATGCGTTTCCATTCTAATCCAGGATCCATTTAACAAGCTTGAATTACCACATTGAACTTATCCTCATGACTAATTTTGGTATTCTATCATCCCAAGATGATTCATATAGAAATATATTTATCTTGTCTCATAAATGTTTTAATGGTTGAAAAGTTCATAAGAGTGTTTGTAACATCCCGAAAATCATGACATAAATTTTTTTGTTTTTATATTAATAAATTGTTAATACATATCATTCCCATAAAACCAAGGTAACTAAGATTTAGCAAAACATCATCAAATAAGAGTAATTCACAGAATGCGGAAACATGTGGTGTGTGCACTGCAATCGTCTTGAGCTCTTTCATTAGAAAACTGGAGTACCTGAAACATAATCTGAAAACCGTAAGCACAAAGCTTGGTGAGTTCCCCAAAATATCATATAACATACAACCACAGATTATCATGCAATACACATATAATTTCCATGGGCTCCCCCTATGGTCTTTATCTAGTATGCCATGGGCTCCCCCATGGTCTTTACATGGAATGCCATGGGCTCCCCCCATGGTCTAATATCCTAATGTCACGGGCTCCCCCGTGGTCTTCCATGCAAGTATCACAGAGACATCTAGCATACCACATAAAACGTAATGGGCCGACATTGGTGCCTTCAACCCATGGATTTTGTGAGAAGACTCACCTCGAATGCAAAAGCTCACTGAAAGAAATCCCTAGCCGCAGCCCTGACGACACCTCCGGACTATCAGATCAAAATAACACCCAATTAGCAATTAGGTTCCATTCTAAGGCCCACTATCCATACTTGGGGTAAAATGACCATTTTACCCCTGACCCAACATGAACCAAAACTGAGGCCTAATTCCAATAACCAAAAAGGGCCAAAACCAAAAGATCCACAAAGGCCCACTAATGGCCCAATTTCCCAAATTGGGCCCAATCTCATATGGGCCTTATCCTAAGCCCATAATTTCCTTAGATACAATTCAGATTACCTCAAGCGCCCCTTGGGACAAACTTGGTCAAAGACATAAGTCAAAAGTCAAGATCAACAATCCATATTGATCCAACACGCCGAGTTGACCAACAACTCGCCGTGTTTCTCCACCAACTTTGAAACGAGGAAAAACCAAGACAACACACCGAGTTGACCCATAAACTCGCCAAGTTCGCCCAAAACCCAACAACTTAATACATTAAGCTTCCTTCATTGGATCCAAGAGCTCCAAAGCTCAGATCTCGACCAAAATGAAATCTAGAAGGGTAAAGTTTCCAACTTTACCCCTAGGAACCACTGAAATGGGTCTAAACTCAAACCCTAGACTTAAAAGAGTGAGGGCTTAACCATTAAGCACTTAATCTTCAAAGACCAAGCCCCTAAATTGCAGATTTGACACCCTAGAGCTGGAAGACCACATAAAGTTGCCAACTTTACATTCATGCATGCCTAGGAGAAGCTCAAAAGCTCAAGAAGGGCTTAATAAGAGACTTGATGCACACATGAAGTCCTTGAATCCATAAAGTTGGCACCTTTATGCCAAAAGAGTCCATGACAATCCTAGATCTGAAAGAATAATGCTTTGGGACGTCCTAATCCCATCATCTATCCAATCCATGGCTAAAGCAGAACAATTTAACTCAAAAGAGATCTAAGCATCTAGCCATCAAGATAAGAACTTGATGCCTCAAACTCCTTGCAAACTAGGTAGTGGTTCTGGATCCAAGACTTCCTTCTCCAAGCTTAGAACTTCAAGACCTTCTAACTCCTTCACAATGCACAAAAATGACCACCAAACTTTCTTCCAAGGCTCAGATGCTTGACAATGGAGGCTACAACTCATTTTAGGTTTTGAAAACAATGAAGGCTGATAAGGAGGCCAGCCAAAGGAACTTAAGACCATTAAATAGGGTGCAACACCCTAAAAATTTG